CAATGTGGTTCCTGATCTCTTCACGAACGACCTCAACAATAAACTCACGCAGAGATCACTAACTGCCGGATGTCAAAGCAGAAGCGCTAATAGATGCGTTGTGTGGTTGGTCGTGGTACCGGCGCCGTCGCTGCAGTGCTTGCTCGATGGTCGTAGCCTATTTGATAAATTACACTACACTTGTTCGCGGGTTGCGTAGGAGACCGGCAAACAGCTGTTCTTTGACACCTCTTTTCAAGTTTCGGAGTTTCTTAGCTTCAGGCATTTCAGGATCAGCCCATCAAAATAGACGGGTCATATCGTCCAAAAAATGGCGACAGTCTCATCTGATTCCTGTATGCGCGACTCAATGAGCTGCTGAGTAGAATCACGGTGGTCATTGTTTACGTAGGTTCTGATAATTTGCTGCTAAAATACGTCCCATGAAGACAGTGTTGCCACGTGGTTCTCGTACCACGTACAAGTGCTCTCCGCCAAAGCAAAGTAGGCACGTCAAAGCCTTTGTCCAGTTTTCTAACGGTTTGCCTTGGCGACTTACTCATACTGGGCTGATCAGTCCTCAATTTCTTCAAAAACCTCACTATGTAAGGTTACGACAATCTGAGGCTGATGAAGAATAAGCTGTGAAGCACTTCCAGTTGCCATTTCTTCAAGAAGAGTGCGTCGCTGGAGAAGTTCGAGGAAGTTCCTCCGGACTAAGGCCACACTGTCGACGAGTGTAACAGTGAACATGAGTATCCAACGCAGGAACAGATAGCGTTTTTGGAATCGAAGTGCCCAGCCCCGGAGGAGTCCCCATATGATGAGGCCCTCCGACGCCGCTAAGAATTAAGGCAATGTAGTGGCGACGAAAACGCACAAGCACGTGAATCTATCTTCAGCGTCGCCTCGTATCCCATGCCCGCGTGGCACGCGCAATAGCAGAAAGAATTGACCACGTTAGACAATCGGAGATCAGACGGAGCCAGAAGCTGGAGACTACCAGAGAGAGCCAGAAGACGCGTTGGCCTGGCTGGACGTCAACGTTCGGGAGGGCAACTTTGTCGGGAGGTACCTAATCAGACGTGAATGCCCGAAAGGCTCCGCACACGGCACGTCTTATGCTCCGGCGCCCAGCGGACGCAGCAGCCGCTACAACCCACCTGGCTCTTCTCGTCAAACGGCGCCGCGGCTGCTTTGTCGAGCCCCATAAGCGAGAGCGCGTCGCCTATTTGAGCTGTTTCTAAAGACGCTTCTCGTGTTCAACGTATTGCCATTGAGTAAGAGAGAAGTTTAGAGCAGACACTTCACGAAATATGGCCTCAGGAAGTACGCCACGACTACGTAGCAAACTAGTGCTTTCAGGAAACGCTAGAGGACATAAGTGGGAAAAACAAAAAGTTATCACTAATACAACGGAATATTTCTTGCAAATAGTAATTTTACGCCCATACTTGGCACGTTCTTATTCATAAAAACAATTTATTCAACACAATTACACGGTTCTTTTTGATAAGCCACACTGCGATCAACAGCATCTACGTGCCAACTAGTGCGCACGCGCGAATCATCGGCTCCCGCTACTGTATATGTTTTTGATCAAGAAGACATCTAATGTTCGGACTGTTTTTCCACCATTGAACACACTTCTTTCAGAGTTCCACGCAGATACCAAGTTTGTGTTGGTGGGTGGTATTTTTGCCAATTTTCGGGACTTTCAACTCTGATGTTGAGGCATGATTGTTCGGCGCGTCGAGGCTTAGCTCTCGAACGCCACCGTGCACTCGCTACCCTCAAGTGTGTCCATGCAAGTGACGGTTGAAGGGGAGGACATCACTCCCGAAGAGTACCTGGAATCCGGGAGCACAAGTTGCAAAGCCAGCACGGGGTCAGCGTCCGGGCAAGTTTGACACAACACCGCAGATCCCGCACCCCACCATCGGAGTCGTCAAGAAAGGCCTCGCCGCCGCCTCTAGGCTCCCCCACCTACCGAGGAAGAATTTTAGGATGATCATTCGCCCTAGGGGTGGAATTGGCGTAAGGAAGATTAGCCACATCAAGGTGACCCAGGCTCTCACCATGGCTGCTCAGCTCGCTCCGGCCGAGACAGAAGAGGACACTGTTTGCGCCAACGTGGTTCAAACCTTGACGACATATTGAGCTCTAAGAGACAGGGACATCAGAAAGAGGACAACACAGTGCGATGTATTGTCCTCTCTCTGAGGTCCCTCTTTTTTAACGCTCAAGATGTCGTCGAGTTCCGTTTACCAACACGCTTAAAAATGGCAATGCTAAAGTTCAAAACATCTTTGTCGTTAGTATACGCCGACGGAGAATAACGCTCGTGTTTACGCGAGAATAGAACCTTTACTCGTAAGGTCCACCTGTGACGAAGTCAACTCATACCTTACGGCGCCGGTTAACACATGGAAAGAAATAGTGCGGGGCGTCGGCCTAGACTTGGACCCCAACCAGCTGCGCGAAATGATCCTTCAGCCGAGGAACCCGAAAGCCCTCGAAGTGAAGCGCTTCAAGGACACTGCTACAATCATTGTTTCGTTCGATGGACTCGAAGTGCCGAATTATGTCATGTGTGTCGCCAGCGTGCTTAACTATACGCTCTACAGACGCCAGACGGACATTGGCTACATCTGTGGCAGACTATAGGTCACCATGTCAACGAGTGCCTCACCCCGAAGTACATGATTTGCAGGGAATGCGGCGCCGTGTCTCTCTGCAGAAAACCACGAGTGCTCGCTCAAGTATGCTCTCTGCAAGGGCCTTATTTCACACCGTACAAGGATTGCAAGCAACTCTTCCAAGTGCTCTATGTCGTCCGCCGCAGAAGGAGGCAGCGGAAACGCGCTACAGAAACACCTGCGATGCCGGTGGCGTCCAGCTGCCAAGGACTTTATTACCTTCTCTTTCTGTTATAACATTGCTTCTCTTTCTTTCTTAGCTTCTCTTTCTGTTATAACATTGTAGAAATAAAAATTACGTCATGACTTCGATTCACATGAACAATTTTGAGCTACACAAAATAGGGAATCGTTAAATAAAAACCGCAAAAATTAGCCTTCCCATTTGGGCTTAGAAAAGTGGCTTGAAGTTATTTAAATTTGCCATAGCCAAGCGTCAGTTGCGCAAGATAATTCAAAATTAGCGCCGGTTAAACCGAAACAGAAAGCGCAGGTCAGTTGCTCTCACCATCCACCAGGTGCACCAGCATCTATTGGGCCGCTGGTCAATGGGAGGGTTCGGTCTTGACCTTTTTCTTTTTCTATGGGATTGCTGTGTTTTTGTATTTTTGATGCTTGTGCTCATTCCCGTGTAGATATATGTTTGTTTGCCGTGCAAGTTGCGTCCACTTTCCTGCTGCCATAACCAGCGTCTCTTGCACGACTCATAAAAACGTGCTCCTTGAACCTTTACTGCATAACACCCGAGCATAAGTCGTGGGAGTCCAGGACCTCAACCAATGTCGCAACGCGGAAAGAACGGGGCACAGGATGACGGTTCGGCCAGCAAAAAGGTCTGTATCAACAGAACATAATAGCAGATGCTGCAATGTCTTCTTCGTGGGAACCGTGGTTGCTGCCCGTGCTCGGCACTTCGTCGTGCTCTGCCATCCTGCCCGGCTTTTGGTAGTGACTGTATTCTACGAAAAATATTCCCGACGTTGCGTCACATGCATTAAGTGTGGAGGTGGACTTTTCAGCCAGTTTCGGAAGCTTCAGTTTCGCTTCTAATGTTATATCAGACATAGGACAGCGACAAGTGTCACTAGCCACTCCTAAGCCGTCATCACGACGCGCGAATGGATGCGCACATGCGCTGCGAAAATACGCGCCACTCAAAATTGTCTTGCAGCCACACTTGCACTGAGGACGAGCTTAGAGTGAGAGGAATGACCGCAACTCAGCATCAAGTTTTATGGCGATGACGTTTTGCGTCATCCTGAGACATCCTCCGCCGTTCATGGCCTTTTTTTGTTCAAGGCCTCAAGGTATATCCTCCACCGCATGTGCGTAGCTGTTGACTTCTGTACACAGTCTACTAACTACTCTGGTTACGTGTGAGGTCGACACGTCGCTGGGGCACCACGTGCCGTTGCCAACCTACGCGGAATGAAGTGGCTCATGGAGAGAGGTGACGCTAGCCAAAATAGCGAAGTTCATTTTACATCTGATTTTTAAAGGAATTATTCACATAACGGGCATCAATATGTACTGGAACTACTGTAGGCTGTTATCGCATAAAGATACAAAATTTTACTGAACAATGTATACGGCACAAGCAATGGAGCAGCACTTAGGTTCCAATTTTTTGTGTGTGAATGAAAACAATCGTACAAAATTTAATATTTTTATGCTCTTCCTGGGTAATTTATTTCAAAAATGTATAATGTGATGTTTTTATTTTGAATATATTGGCATATACAGTCTTTTTTACTGTTTACATTGTGGCAACGAAAAATTACAGATTTCAAAATTTTAGTCGTTTGAGAATATTTTTTTGCTCTGCAACATACAATATTCTCTAAAGAGCGTTTCGTTGTGCAAAATTTGGTATGATACAAATGCGTGCTGGAATGCTCTTCAACGTAACAAGAAGTCTCTTCCCGAGACCTATGAGAAATATGCATTTTCGTGCAGTAACGAAAGAGCTCAGTGTCCAGATGTGGCAGTTGTCACTCCAAGTTCATCCTGTGTATGCTCATTTCATGCGTCCTCTCTGTTTGAGGTGTACGCTGTAAGTTTGATCTGCTTAACGTTCTTCGCGTAACATTACAATTCGCTACTGTAGCATTCATTCCTTTCGCCCTTGTGGCAAAAGAAGGCAAAATAAAGGCTCCTATACTACTGGGAAGACACTTTCTATTTCCGCGCGATTCTACAGCGGGATCAGCCATGCTTTTTTTGTTATTTCGTAGGAATTCTGGAGCACTCATTCATCAAAGGAGAAAGTGTGGTGCCAAGTGGAGAAAATGCGTGAATGGCGCAGTCAAGTTAGAACTGTACCTCATCTGGAAGTTCTGCGTACTCTAGCTGGCGTTCGAGGGCAACCACGATCTGGGTGACGCCAAGCAGGGCCGTGCACAAGGAAACCATGATAATTGGTATCTGAAAAGCACAATTGACGCAGCTGGAAATAAATTGTGGAACCCATACGCATGAGCTGGCACTCGCGGTGTTCAGCACATACTGTCTGAAGGCTCTATTGTGCATAGATGAAAAACCAACAAACCTGCATTTACGTGACTTCAGCGCTAAAAGAAATGTCATAAAGGTACTCTTAGTGAAATCCTAATTATTGCAATAGAGGTACATGATTACAATGAACGTTCTCTATAAATACGTGGCTTCAGTATCCGCGCATCTTCATAAGGTCGTGCCAACCACAGTGTTACGACACAAAACTTCCCTATTCACTTTTTTAGCCTCGTAGAACTTATAGAGGCCAGCAATATTACTTTCAGAGAGAATACTCGGCAAGCGTATGAGGAAGAAAAGCAAAAAGAAAGCTAGCCTGCTCTACGCATGCGCTAATGGTTACAAAATTCAGTGCAGTGTGACTGCGTTAGTCGGCGCATGCTTACGGGAGATCCTATTGGTAGCGTTTTCGTCTAGAGCTTTCAGGGCCAAAAATTTCAATTGAAAGGAAAGCAGATTTTCCAGTACATTGAAATTATCGTGACAACTGTTAAATATTATGATTACGTAGTCCCTGACATCAGCCTGACTACGCGCACTGTAGGGCAAAGGCCTCTCTCATGATCCGACAATCTGCCATGTTAGAGCTGCAATCTCTTCCTCGGCCCTCCTAACTTTCTCTCTCCTCCTTATGCGTTTGCCTTCTATGAGAATCAAGCCAATTACCCATATTGACCAGCGTTTATATGGTCTATGCGGTAAGCATCCGGCACATGTCTATTTCTTCTTGATTTCAACTATGAGATTCTTAATGCTGGTTTGTTCTGACTGGTGACTAAAGCCGAGGCAAAAAGTGAAAATTAAACCCTTCACTTTAAAGTACGAATACTCAACCTCACTATTTAAGAAAAAAAATAAATGTAGTTTTTGGTTCATTAAGTATTACGGATTGGTGGCGCTAGACACCACCCGATCTATTGGGGACATCCGTCCGTCCGTCCGTCCGTCCGTCCATCCATCCATCCACCCATCCACCCATCCATCCATCCATCCATCCATCCATCCATCCATCCATCCATCCATCCATCCATCCATCCATCCATCCATCCATCCATCCATCCATCCCATCCATCCATCCATCCATCCATACATCCACCCGCCCACCCGCCCGCCCACCCACCCACCGTAGGCAAGTACCGGTAAGATTCAGTTGCTATATTCCCTATTTTTGAGGGTTAGTGTTAGATTTTCATTCAAAATTTTAGAATGCTTGCCGAATGTGATCCACCCCGACTTTGTTTTTCTACTTGACGTACGCAGTTTAGATGCTATATGCTAAACAGGCAGATGCCTGAACGCAAAAATATATCTGAGAGCATTACAGGACAAATGCTCTGCAGTGACTGCAGTGCAGTTGCATACTTTTAGTGAAAGTTGTACTTGTGCTTTTAATCACCGTTGCACGTTATTCAAGGTATATAAGATTGGTAGAGAAGGCTTTATAGAAGCCCGTACGTTCAGTAAATGGCAGCTGATCAGCTGCTTATGGGGCTTAGCGCCATCCGTGTGAGGAGGAAACACTTCCGGCGAACATAAAATACAGCGGATGTGACGCGATAGCTGGGTAATAGGTGAGATAATTGGGTGTGCACTAGCGCTAAAGTTGGTCTCAAGTTACTTTTCATAGGTCCCTGATTGCTAAGAACTCGCGCTAAGGTGATCGCCGGCGAGTCATCGATGAGTGCGCTACAAGTCAACGCCAGCTAGTCTAATACACACTGATGATTTATTAGTAATGTTTAAGTGTACTACCGTTCACTTCGCCTCGGTTTTAGAAGAAAACTCATTCTTCGAACTCTTATTCGCCGTTCATGACATCATACGCCGACCGGCAACCAAAAGAGCAGCAATGTACACACGTGATATCTGCAGCGTCGCCTAATAGTTTCGCAAATGCGCATGTTGTTAGCATGCACAATGCTTGTGATCTGTTTTAACAGGAAGAAATGACATCTAGCCACGCCAAAACGATGGCATTTTAGTCACAGTACACAAATTTATTACACTGCACAGAATGGTAATAGGAGCAAAAAAATTCTGCGGACACTCTCTGCGTCTTTTTTTGCATTATGCTCCGATAAACTACCACTACGTATGCGAATCGAATTGTAGCTTGTCACAAACGTCTGCAATCTTCGTTTCGCCCGCACTCCCCATCGTCCAAAGAAGGGCGCTTTTGTGTTGGGAGGGTGACATCCGGTGACTGGCGACGCAGAAGCGGTGCCGGCTCGTCTTCCCTACACATGTACCGAAAGGAGGAACGTGTGTGGAGGAAAATGAAATGACCTCGAGAGGGGAAGGGAGCACGCGTACGCGCCGTAAAAGTTTGGACTCCATCGGGATCGGCAGTTGGCTTGCAGCCAGCAAGAAATGCGGTCGTCGGTGTCGCGAGTCTCACTTAGGCGGTGAACATGGAGTGAACCGCGCAACGTATTGAGACGGCTGCAATACTGGGCACCCTCGTCGTTACTAAACTGGCGAGATCTTCAGCCACACCCCGTCAACTCCCTACGCGTACCAAGAGCTGCCCTGGTCAGTATAGAACTTTTTATTGTGTCTTTTCTTGAAACTGTGATGTTATTTTAACGAGTTTTTCCTTAATTGTAGTGTGCGCTGCGACGCACGTAAAAATTTAAAAGCACGACCATGATCTTTTTAATGTAATTTTTCGTGTATATCTTTTGATATCCATCATGTCATTAGTTTATTAACATTTCACGTATTTATGTTTTTTGTACCTCTTGTAGTAATCTTTTAGAGCATAGTTTGCTTTATAGCCGTTCTTTTTCATCGAGTATCAGTTTTCTTCCTCTGCTAGTTTCGTTAACTTCTGCCTTTGCCTTTGTTTTAAATAAATGCTTGTTTATTCTGTATAAAATCTCCGTGTCTGCTCTATGAGTACGTCGGTCAGGCTCATACATCACCACACGTGCACCCCGTACGGGTCGACTGAGCCGCAATTAAATTTCAGATGTGCCACTTCGAGGCCTTTCAGGCGTCGCAGGCTGAAGCATAAAGTGGAAGCCTGCGAGTCTACCTATCGTCGATGTTGGATCGGCGAGGACGAAGAGTGTGACATAGTGTGATAGTTGCCTTGGCAACATGCTCACCAATAATGCGAATACTAGGCACTGCATGTTCAAGAAGGAACACTGATGGATGAAAGTTTAACGAGCAGTGCACTCCGAAACATTGTCCTTGTTTTTTACCTAGAAGACATGGGTCACCAGGCATACGTTTGTAACTGCTGCATGCTTGCATAGCACATAGTTTCCGCAGCTACCGACGACAGCACTCGGCATTAAATGTAATTAACATTGTTCCGCTGCTCGCTGGACACTTCACTGCAGGACGTTCACCAACGATAAAACGTGCCTAACAATTTCGCCCAGAACAGAGAACGCAAGGAAGCGTAGAACACTAAAACACGTGAGAGGGTGTGTCTCCGCAGTCGAATTGTATGAGGGGGCCTTGCCATGCATACCCATGTAGTGCAAGGGCTGCACTTAGTAATAGTAGCATAGGCAGCGGGTGCTATGAAAAAAAAAAGATATTTCGTATTAATAGAAATCGTCTTAAATACTTAGTTCCTTACACATACGTAACATAATTGGGAAAAATAAATCGCATTTGTGAAACCTATTGATTGCTTTGACTTTGAATACGACTTGGTATTTTTCACTATTAGCGTTTGCTTCCTACACAAATAGTCTCGCTTCAATCGCAGCTACCATAACTCGCCATGCAGATGTCGCTGGCAATAGCTTCCGAACCACTTTCCGCCCGAGCCTTCGCGACCTATTTAAATAGACCTTGTATCACATTCATTAGTGTAAAAAATACAGCATATCTGCGGACAGATGGCCAGACACACAGACGAATGCACGGACGGACGCACGCGTGAATGGACAGATGGACGCAGGGAAGGACGCATGGACGTATTCACAAAAGAACAGATAAACGCAATAACGCACTGAAGGACGAACGCCCACAGGGGCGTACAGATGGACGCACTGAGGGACAGACCGATGCACGGAAGGACAGACGGACCCACGAATGGACGCGCGGACGGACGAACGCACGGGCGAACGAAAGCAAGAACGAATGAACGGACGGACCGCAGCGTGGCCGAACTGACGGACGTTTCGCCCCACTCATCGTCATTCAGTCCGTTTATATGCTGTGATTTTTAAAGACGATTGTCTTTCTTGGGGTACTTCAACACAAAAATTTTGGTCTGCCTGCCTGCCTGCCTGCCTGCCTGCCTGCCTACCTGTCTGTCTGTCTGTCTGTCTGTCTGCCTGTCTGTCTGTCTGTCTGTCTGTCTGTCTGTCTGTCTGTCTGTCTGTCTGTCTGTCTGTCTGTCTGTCTGTACATTTGTCTCTTTGTCCACCATAACGATACCCCTAATGACACCAAACGATACTCCAAATGGCCAACCCCGTTCGCAGCGCCCAACAATATTGCTCGAATTCCAGCGTTCATGTTTGTGCGATTGTTATATAAAAAGCAAACAGCCTGCATATTTGAGGCATCACAATAACACGTCTATGTTTTGTATGTGTGTCTTTATAGTACAGAAAGCATACAAAAGTAATTTTAAAGATCGTAATGTTTATCACGCTGCGCTGACCATGCAACGCGATGTCCAAAAAGGTAAGTGGTGCCAACGCTTCGCTTAGATAACACGATAATGGTACCTGACCATCGCTTTGCGTTCTACACCTTATCGCCTCCAAGACGGGCGCGTACGCCTTACTTCGTTTTCAAAGATAACTGTCCGACAGCGCTCGTGTCTAAGGTGAATCGATCGTGTTTAACGCGCCTCTAACGTGTACACCTTCGCTGCACGGATTAATACTCCCTAATGCAGTGCCTCCAGTATAGAATTAATCAATTTTCTCGTGCAGAACATCAAATAAACATTTTGTTCACTCC